GCCGGTTGTTCAAAAGCCGATTAGCTTAATCCTAGGTTAACTTAAAATCCAAAGGAAACGTCCTAACAGCTTGTTTGTAAATTTGGAAATATTTCTCCCCAAATCATGTCTGGATCAATAGAAGTTTTCTTTTCTGACATTTAGAAATAAATGGACATGCAGAAATATATGCAAACTAAAACAGTGGGCTAAATTTTAAACCTGGATTAGCGCTAATCCACCTTTGAACAACCGGCCCCTGTAGACGTTTCCCACCCAAAATAGCGAATGTCAAACAATTATGCCGAATTATGTGTTATGATGTTACTTGCAAGGTCTGAATTGCTATCAGTTAAGGTTATACAGAACACGGCTTTGAGTGTTAATTTTGCCTAAATTTTTTTGATTGGTTTCCATGAAAGCATTTGACTAGTTCTACTATCTGTAATCTGATCAAGTTTGGACGAAAAATGTTGAAAACTCGCAGAGTTATTTAATAAAATTCTTTTCGCTTGCAATAAGAAAAACATTGAAAATGTAATATTCAAATTCAATTTTCTCCCGAAGAAAATTACGGCAATTACTGATTTTTAAACGAGTTGTGCTCCTGCGGGTTTTAACGATTTTTTCTCAAATTTTCACAGAACATAGCTAAAGACGTCAGTTTCAAAACTGTGTTCGGCTTTGTTCTAATTTTGGATATTTTAATAATAAGGAGCAATTGACACAAACGATTCAGAAATATATTGCAGTAGTCAAATAAATCGCCATATCAGCGGAATGACGACATAAACAAAAATTTCCGACTAACACTATTTTTTAGAACAACTATTTTGCTGTATAAAAATGATATTTTCATAAATATATCTTAAAACCAACAGAAACATAACTCAAAAGCGTAAAGGAACCGCGACTTAAGATTTTCCTGAATAATTCTTACATTATTTTATTGTTTGTCAATTTTACAACTTTATCATATTTTGCATGCACTGGCTAACATTTGGTAAAAATTTGATGAAAATCGGACTGATTTTGAGCGCGTAGTAGCAAAACGCGAAAAAGGGTGTCCTGTAACCTTAACTGTTCATTGTGAATTGTTGTTCATATACAGTATACTTCACCTGTACACCTGCGTTGAGTAGCAGTTCGTTTCAAGTTGCTCTCCAGATGTCACATATGGGAGCTCACTTTAAGCTGCATTTACGCTTAACGATTTGCCGTGTACGTTTCGTATTTATGGCGTATAAAAATTGCTGCTGACGCCACAATTCCTCTTCATTAGTTTATTATAGACAGATTAGAAATTCAATCACTTTATGCGCGTGTTTACTCGATTACATGCGCGCGCCGGACGCATCGTGCACGCGGCAGAATGCTACTTGTAAACTTAATAAGTTCTATAATTAAGTTCAACGTTCCAATTCTGCAGCGGAATGGATAAGTTTAAATTAATTTAATTTGTGTAATTTTGTTCGAGCTGCTAAAATTAGACCGTAAAATAATGGTATCTCTTATATAGAAGAAAATCAGATTAAAATTTCATTTGAATATTTGACATGTTCGAAATTTTTAGAAATATCCTCTAAATCTAGCCTTCAAAACTGATGTATTGAAAAATTACTTATACAAAATTTAACTATGGTCAATAATATGAAGAGAAAGCCAATTTATAAGTCCTACTCTCAAACTCATTCCTGAACAATGGCTTCAATAAAATTAGCTAATTTCAACCACCCTTTGGATTGTTCTTCCTATGTTAGTATTTAAAGAAACAATGCCAGACAATCATCCATTGACGTGCTAACACCTCCTTTGGAAAATAGGTTATTGTTTTGTCTTCTGATTTACACAAAACTACTAGATTTTGGCTGATAGACAATATTCATTATTAATGAATGAATATACCTCATTACGTATAAGGCAAGCCGCAACATAAACCCATTCTCTATAATTATCACAAAGGATTTGGCTTTTATCGTAACACGATTATAAATTTCAAACAAGAAAAGGTCTATACAGCTGCCAAGCACTATTGCTTTCTTTCATGTTGAGAAACAGAACAAGTATCCAAGATAAAATTCTGGGAAGCTTGTCACTCCTTGTTTTAACTTCGATAATAAGCATTATTAAAAACACAATTAAAGATCCCTTTGTTTGGTCAGTTTGTCTGAAGCAACTGATTTACCTCCGAATGAGAAATGTCAAACTAAGATATTTAACTAATTTCATATCCATTGTACTACTGCCATTACATAATTCTACAAACAGGAAAAATCTGAAGGCATTCACGATCAAACTGTGTCAAGAACATTTTTTGTGCTACAATTTTCAAATTCCATTATTTCTTCCTTTCAGTAATAAGTTTGATTACTGTTGCCTAGTTATCGCAAATAGAATAAATTACTTGAAAGATTATTCACACTATGAGATGCTAAGAACTTATATTGAATCAAGAAAATCAAAGATAAGGGCGAACCATATCATAGAAGGATATAACATGTAAAAGAAAGCTAAATTCTCTAGAAGATAGTGCACTAACTTACTTCTCTCATAACAATTCTTCCAGTCCTCAGAACAGTATATTTCGCAAGTTAAGTATTAAATTTATCGGCGTCAAATAGGGCAAAGGATTATAGGAAGCTAGAGACGTTATATAATTAAATGTTGGCCACCTACTACATCAGTCGATTATAGCGAGTTCTCGAGTATTATATTCGTCGTTACGGCTCTCTGTGAGGCAGTTTGAGGTTCTTGTCACAGCTGGAATAACAGTAAGTTGACATCTGCAAGGATCAGATTCCTAACAAACTGGAACAGTCCGCGATTTGCTTTTCAATAAGCTGTGTAACTCACCACTCCTAAGGGAAACACTCATATTGTTGAACTGAAATACTGATTTGACATGGAAATTCAAAAGCTGAGGTCGACGACTATCAAACTAATGTTGACTTCACTCATCGCATCAATACTCATTTGTCACGGTAAGTCAAGAAACTTTTCCCGGTATTCCACAATACATGTTTTGCTCAAGTTGAGGTACAATGGCAAATGCAATGATAATAGACAATCATCTGGTCGACACTGATTATTGTTTTCAGCACTATAAATTAACCAAGCACTTGCCATCCCCAAGACTAACTTGTTTAAGAAATGCAATAAAAAAGAATTAAGCTAGATTTAGATTTTTTCTAATTCAAACAAAACTTATACGAGACACAAAACAATACATTCCGCCAGGCTAATAGCCAGTAATGTACAATAACGTTATTATATATTTCTTATGTCCTAAACATCGACTGCGCGTGCTCGTTGGACTGTACACAATCCAAAAGCAGTTTAGTATGCTTCATGATTTTGGTACAATCCTTTCAAATATTTTTATGTGTAAAATGATCCTATAGATAATTTTACCTCTTCTAACCTGTGCCATATTGTCAGGTGAAAAGCATTAATTAATTTAAAAATCTTTGTTTTATCCTTTGGCAGCATGATAGGTCTTTGGCATTTCCAAGCTTTACCCAAATGTATATCTGACTGCTGCATTAATTTCTAAACTTCATTATGCATCTTCATGCACGCGAACAATTTCTCCGTAATTCTGTTGCAATTTTTCCACAAAATGGAACCTTGAAGCCATGTTATACATGAGACTGTTTCGGTGCCACTTTCAATGCAATTTTTTAAAATACACTACAGGCATGATACCTCAAAACTATTCACATTTTAATTCTGAGAATGGCCAACAGTTTACTCTACACTTTTATTGCATTTCTTTCTTTTTTGAAGAGTATAATGTTGGGCATGTTTACATTTCTCTGAAACTTTACTATATAGCTACTTTTAGACGATATAGACGATAGCCGTGGCTTTATAATTAAAAACTGTGTACATTAATTGCAAGGTGCTGCAAAATATTCCTGTGTAACATGCATTTTTTTAAAAATAGGCTGTTTAATTGTTATTACAAACGCCCAAGCATTCCAGCTTAATGATGACAAACTATTTCGATACTTGTTAAAGGCCTATAGTTTGATAAATTTTTGGAGTTGCATCATGCATGGAATAGTTACCTAAATTTATCTAAGCGTTTCATAAAGGGAGGCGTTTTTCAATTATTTTAATTTTGTCGACGGCGATCTAGTACCACAAGATTTTCGTAGGCCTACAGTACGTGCACAGTTATGATATTTGTTTACTGATCTTCCTTCTTGTCCAAATCGGGGGAGGCAGAAAATATATTCTATTAGGTATTTGATGGCATACACTACAACATTATCATACCTTAATTGTTTCCATCAGACACAAAAGTATGCCTACATAGTATAAGTATATAACTAATGTAGCTAACACTTATATTCATGAAAGAACTCTACAATATAACATAGTGTACCAACGCAACTTTAGCCTCCCTCACAAATGCAATATTCTGTAGTCACTGGACGAAGTGATGAAATGTATATCCTCTGGAATTTGCAATTGCATCACTATATCCATAGCAAAATACCTATTATTTCCACACTGTATTCATAGTATGGACATTGCAATTGACGATTCCCTTATGTTTTCGTAGCGCTTTCCATTGTGGTAATAGTGGTATCACTGATATTCAAGATGGCTTATTTTTTGTCCTGACCCGTGCAATAACTTTTAAAAAAAAGCTAAAGTCAAGTACGCGATGTACAACAGCAAAATATTCGCGAAACCATTCAATATTTTCATTCGAAGCCGCTATCTTTATTATAGTGATACCACTATAAGCACAATGCAAAGCGCTACGAAAATGTAATAAGGGGAATCTAGAATTGTTATGAAAATTTGATTTTCATGCATACTATTTAATTTCAAACAAATATCCATGCTATTTCCATAGTATCGATTTTTGAAGTGAGTCATTATACCAGAATATACTATGTTCCGCATAAAATAATTCTGTGTTAACTAATATAGGTGTATAGGTTTTTCGAATGACACTGAAGTTTTATTTTACAATTAATATATAGTTCTAAAATTTCTTTTGCTAGGCAGTGTAATTCAAGCTGTACCCAGAGTGGTAGTTCTCAACTGCCCTCTTCCCTATATTAAAGTTTTATCTGGAACCACTGTTGATTTTACCTGGAAATTCCGTGTTTTTGAAGAAAAGATGATAAAGGCAATTTCGTGGTACTACTCTGTCTCCGACGACAACTGGACGGATAGTGAAAAGCTAGTTCAAAAAACTTTCAAGGTGAATCATTCAAACGAAGTTAGTGGAAATCCTCTTTTGAAACCAGATAAACGTAACAGGACGAACTGCACCTTTGATCATCAAGACCAAATCTTCACAATGAATTGCCGCTTGACGAATGCAAAAGCATACGATAGTGTTTCGTACGGCATGAAAGTTAAATTTCGCGCAGGCACAACCATCGTTATAACCAATACTTCAACATTAAAAGTTGTTGGTAAGTTGAGAAATTTTGAACGATGTTCGAAATAAAGTTTGTTTGCAAGTTCGTTCTAATCCAGGTCATATACTTTCTCTTGATTCATTTCCAATTAGCTACATATGCTTTCATATTGATAAAGATTGAATGAGCAATGAAACATTTAGGACAGGCTATATTCATGCAGACTAGTGTTTCATGGAAACAAGAATGAGATTGATTTCATTGTTCATACCTTCATGAAGTTCTAAAGCCAATTTCCAAAGAAATTGATATTTTCCAATAGCGGTATTTTCAAATTGTTGTGCCCATCCGATTGTATGACAAGAGGCCGAGAGGCTAACTTCTTAACTTCATTTCATTTTGTCAAAATCTAAAAAATTAAACAAAACTATATTTATAACCGCTGAATGGTATAAACATTAATAAAACTAAAATATTACTAATTATTCTTTTGCTATCTAGTATATGTATATAAATGTGGACCGAACATCATAATTATAATCCGTCAGTTTAAATCTGATTAACAAAATTTTTTATTTTCGTCAAGAATAATGACATATTCTAAAAATAGATCAGCATTTGAATTGAATGAATTATTCTGGTTTGTTGCCTCAATTTGTGTACTTATTTTGTAGGCATCCTTATCTGTCCGTTATTCAATTAATTTAATTTATCCAATTAATTAGGAATGTCTGACTATGTTTTGACTAATAAATCTTAATGCGATTAATTTCTGTGAAGCCCTTAAATATTGAATACGGTAATTTTTCGAGGCTCTTCCATCTGATTCCTATTTTCCCTTCAAGCAAGACAATACATTGAAAGCCACGACATTCCCCATCATGCTCAGGGAATTTTCAATTTTTAGTTTCCAAAATTGGAGAAGTTTCCTGGCCAGTAGAAATGATTTTTTGTTTCATTGTGAACTTCATTTCACGGGAGATATTGAATCCCAGGTCAATCGAGGAGAATCTTTCGTTGTTTTCTGCAGTATCGATGTGAGAATTAAAACAGTAGTGCAGCATTTTGATTTTTTTATGCTCGGTTAGCATGCCAATAACATCTGATTTCAAAAGAATGCATTACGTTTTTTAAATAATTTTGTGTATATGTGTACTAAAAGGAATGAGTTTCGTACATTTTGCAATAAATCTAGATCATAAGTGTATTGAAACATTTTCTGAGATTTCGAGGACAAATTCAAACGAATGATTGATTGCGTATTTTCGAATTTAATTACATTGCGATGGTGTGGGGTAGGGCACGGTAATTTCGTCAAACAGAAATACCCACATATAGTTTTATGTATTGTTTAAGACTAAAATTTAACATTGTTCCGCCTGTTTGAATAGGAGATGTGTTCCTTCTTTTTATACATCTATTCATCTATCAACAAACCCATCATAATAATATCGGGCAATTTCCATCAATGTCTGGAAAATTTTCTTTCACTTCCTAATTTTCTTCCCCCCAAGATAGCCTTAATTAATGGGTGAAAGTATGTCTAACACGTTCTCATCACCTAATGGTCTACGTTTAACCACGTGAGCAGAATGATGATTACGAATAAAATCTGGTAATGATTGTGCTCAGGTCAACATTTACATTACAAGCATCAGCAGATTTGCACAATGTGCTCAAATTCCGTCCGTGATCAACTTTCAAGTAAGATTAAAATAATTGACGTAATAATTATGCAACTTAACTTTTTTACATTTGTCATTAGTTTTTGTTTCCTTATAACGCATAAGGTTAATTCTGGAGCACCAGCTGGGGGGGGGGGGAATAGGAGAGGAGGGGGGTTGGGGGAGGAAGAAATTTGCTCGGCATTCTGTGTGTAAAATTCTCAAAATTCGTACGTTTATAATTTGCCGCAGACCCCCTCCCCATTCTCGTCCGTTTATGCTCCTAAGAACCATCTTTTGAAAGGATGAAATATGCCATTTACATGTATAAAGAGAACACTGTACGTCCTTCAAGTGGCCAAGCGCTTAGTCCCAGGGGCGGACTGGCAGGTCGGGCTCACCGGACAAACGCTCGATGGGCCCCTTGCTTGTAAAGCCATTTTGGGCCCCTTCAAAATTGGCCTAAAATGTAATTTAAATAAATGGCTAGAAGCTCCAAAACATAAGCATGAAAAGCAAAAAGCACGCTTCAACCACTTTTCTCGCCCGACTAAGGGCCCCTGCGATCTTTTCTCCCTAGTATTTTGCTCTTATATATACAGTACACAAAAAGATACGTACTTAGGTATGGCTTTGGGGGGCGCCGAAACGCAAAACGGGATAAGTAGGCGTTTTCAGCTGCAGAGAAGCGTTGCAATTTAAAGCAATATAAAGTTTACTTAGTTATATACTGAAAAAATCGATGGGGCGACACTGCGTGTTAGTATCTAATAGCCGGAGCCCGCGGCTCGCGCAATTCTCTGCCCAAAATTTAGCTTTGAAATATTGGCAACTGGGCAACTTTTCAATTACAACACCACTATCCGAATGCCTTCAAACGTGAGACTTAAATCTTCTTCAATCATTGAGAATGATTCAATTTGCTATTGGAAAACTTGAAATGATCAGCAGCGATTTTCCAACTGTCCTGAATATTGCCACATGCAGTTCGCAAAGAAAGCCAAAAGCAAACAGGTTTGCTTTAGCAACAAAAAGAATTCGAAAAAGGAAACTACATTTCGGTGAAAAGGATGAAACTTGCCATGGAGACATTGAAGAGTAGACAATATGAACATATTATTTCCTTTTCCATTTTGACCGGTTAAGAGCATAAATTTATATTTCATTTATAATTTATTTGCGTAAGCTACTTTTATAAAACAATGACAATTTTTCAGATCAATGACTAATGATAAAAGTGCCTACTAAAAATTAAAATAGGATAGAGTAACTTTTTTTGGGGTGGGGGGTCAGAGCCCCCATCTAGCCAAATTTCTCGGGGCCCCTTGAGGTAGCCAGTCCGCCCCTGGTTAGTCTGCACGAAAATATTTCACGTTACAATATACTTAATTTGAATAAACCCCTTTCCAATTTAGCGGAATCGAACGAAACTTGATTTTTTAAAATTTCGCTATCGAAAACAGTTTTCAATTCTCAAAAAATAGTTTTGAATTTGGGAAGATTTTATTTAGATACATGAATTCTGACATGTGCTATCAAAATATGTAATTGAGTATTCTTGGTTTGCAATCACTTCATTAAATTAATTTTAGCATAATTTCAATTGACTAATTTGGAAGTCAATCAGTAGTTACCTGAGGTCAACTAAAACATGAAAGAAACAAAATTGTTATCAACGGATCTTATATGTAAATGTTCAGCGACTTTTACCAAAGCCATGCACTATATTTAACAATTATTCACCAAAGTGGAACCGAATAGTGCAGGATATTTATGAATTGTCTTAGTCTATTCCATTATCCTAAAAACATTACGAACAATATAGAAGCTGTGTCCTTTACTCTTGACACAGATCCTTGGCCCCTATGTGACATCTTATAGAACCCGTTTATTGCAAGAGCGGAGAAAATGTCTAAATTCCTCTCCTTTTTTTTCTTCCAAAAAAGATTTAATATTGGATAAGACGAAATCTGATCACATTGTGGAATCCTGGATAGGTAAGCCAACCATCATCAAATGCGCGATCCACAGGAAAGTAATTCTGACGACCAAGTACAAATGGAGCGTTGTAAGTGAAGCGAAAGATATAACACGTGGTATCAAAAGAGGTGGAAATAAGACATCATATACATTCATTCCGTTGTCAGAAAAGGACTTTGGGAAATATAAATGCACTGTCAGGACAGCGGCAACAATCGTCGAACACGAAATCCTGCTACGGCAAATACGTAAGTTTTTATCTTAAACGTAGTTCTTCTTTCACTTTTTAAATCCCATGGTGGCATGACATACTGTAAATGTTAAAATTAGTATCCACGATTACACATCAAGTTTGTGATTATGATTGTGAGAATTTATTGATCATTCCCAAAAGGGAGCGTTTCAAAATATTTCCAAAAATAACGTAGCCCTAAAGATTGCAAAACTAGTTAATTAAATTGATGACGTACAGCTATACAAACTCTCTTAATAAGAATTTCCTCAATTCAATTTAAAATTACAATTAGTTTTACTAGATTTAGTTTCAGGAGGCATATCGTTCCAGAATTCAACTACTGGCTAATGGAAGGTCTTTCATTCTGTAGCACTTTTAAAAAATGAAATTTTTAGTAAATCAGATTGTCTTGTTAGTCTTCCACTACCGGTTCTTCTGTTAACAAATTCAGAGTTCAAATACATTGGCGACATCCTGTTCATGCACTTGAATGCTAACGCTGCATCACGATAATGTAAATGGGTTTTCACTGCTATCCAGGCTAATTCGTTCAGAATTGGGATCACGTTTTCGAATTTTCTACCCCACTAATAACACGCGCTACGAAGTTCTGGTCCATTTGAAGTTTCTTGATATTTTTTCCTACGGTATGTCCAAGCGAACAATAGAAACTATTAAAGTAATTAGCAACCACTTTTCATTTAAAAGAAAAGAAGGAATACATCAGTATTTTTTGTATTTTTCGATCAAATGTGTATCACGCTACAAATATGCATTTCATATCATGCATTTCTTGTTTGTTTCAAGTATAAATGCCCTATAATAAACTTTTTATTTACCTCGCTTGCTTGGTATGTACAAAGAAATATTGGACCTTTGTCATTTTGTACAAACCTCGTCCAAATCGGCTTGAAACAAACAAGAAATGCATGATATTGAAATGCACTTTAAGGTTACAGGACACCCTTTTTGGCGTTTTGTGGAAAATCGCTACCGCTCAAAATCAGTCCGATTTTCATCAAATTTTCACCAAATGTTAGCCAGTGCATGCAAAATGTGATAAAGTTGTAAAATTGACAAACAATAAAATAATGTAAGAATTATTCAGGAAAATCTTAAGTTGCGGTACCTTTACGCTTTTGAGTTATGTTCCTGCTGGTTTTAAGATATATTTATGAAAATATCATTTTATACAGTAAAATAGTTGTTCTAAAAAATTGTGTTCGGAAATTTTTGTCTATTTCGTCATTCCGCTGATATGGCGATTTCTTTGACGACTGCAACATATTTCTGAATCGTTTGTGTGAATTGCTCCTTATTATTAAAATATCCAAAATTAGAACAAAGCCGAACACAATTTCGAAACTGACGTCTTTAGCTATGTCCTGTAAAAATTTGAGAAAAATTCGTTAATACCCGCAGGAGCACAACTCGTTTGAAAATCGGTAATTGCGGTAAAATTGTTCCGGAGAAAATTGAATTTGAATATTACATTTTCAATGTTTTTCTTAGTGCAGCGAAATGTATTTTATTAAATAACTCTGCGAGTTTTCAATATTTTTCGGTCAGATAGTAGAACTAGTCTAATGCTTTCGTGAAAATGACTAAAAAAATTTTAGGCAAAATTAACACTCAAAGGTGTTCTGTAACCTTAATAGCGTGGTACACATTTGGAAATTTTAAGTTAGTTTCCATTTAAAATTAGTTTCCATTCACAGATATCTTATTAATAACAAATTCGATCATAATTTTCAAATTTTCAATTAGGTTTGCTGTTTTGTTTTAAAATGCATGCGTTTGTTTTTATACGTAATGGACCGCCGGTCCAATACGGGAAAGTAATGGACCACTGAAAGTGCTCCTCAGCCAATCACAGTCCCAATTTCAAGGGAAATGATGCTTGCCATATAATAAATATAAATTTAAAGCGAGAAGTTAAGTATGAATTGAAGATGGCTGAAACACTTTAGTGTGGCTAATTGCATTATCTACGAATCGAATGACCAGGGCGCTTCGGAAATATTGCGGGAATGGCACTTGCATCATAGTGTTTATAAATGCGTGTTTCTTTACAAATTGGTTTGGGTCGACTTTTTCTTAAAGTTGAAATCATGATCGCTGAATGAAACAGGCATTACTCCATCACCCGTTTAACCATGTATTTAATTGTTTGTGAATAAAATTACTTTCACGTCCGCTCTTGCTTAAACCCAATTAAAATCGTACCTTCCATTTTACCAACGGTGCGATAATTAGAGAAACACTTTCTAACAGCAGCACAGTAATTAAAGAAGCACCATGAAAACTACTTATAAATGCTTTTATAATATTAACTAATTGAAATTCCTGCCTGCGACATATAGTTGAATCTTTCGCAGACGTTCTTAGTTAGTTCTGAGAAATGTATATAAATTTTCATTTGATAACTTCAATCTACAAGATCCTTCAATCAGTTTGTCCTTTTGAAAACGCCTATTATTTTTCCGACTTCCCTTTCGCATCTAGTCCGTCGTAAAATTTTCCCATATCTACCATATTACCTTAATTTTGAGTACCTCTCTTCGTTTTTCCTGTTTCCTTGTTCTTCCCTGTCTATCATATGCAGAAAGACATTTTCCTCCATTTTCCTATAACCTTGGGATATCATCTCACTTTCTTTGTGAAATTTTCTTTGAATTTCACATTTCACCTCCAATTTCTTCCTCACGTCTTCTATTCCCTAGCTTTCGATTAATACTCTCACAATGTTTTTCCAGGCGATCTATGCATCAACCAAAAAATTAAAGGCTCTCGCAGCCTACATGTGTCAGATCCGTTTCAAATTTTGAGTGAATTAGAGTCAATTTCTACTGCGTGTTATCTAATTTCAGTGGAGAACAAAGTCAATTCCATACAATAAACAGCTGGCAACAAAATGTTCTCACGTATTGGCTCAAATTCTTGCGATCATCGCTTTCCAAATGCTATATTTCCAAATGCATGCATGTTCTTCGTGTTTATAGCTTTTATTTGCTTGGAATTTGAAGCAAACTGTACATTTGTACATGTATTGTAAGGCTTGAAACTTCATACAGGTCAGACTGTGATCTAATAATTAAAATTAATTTACTGAAAACTTGAAAAGAATGTTACGATGTGAAACACGCTGGGCAAACGTTTCGTCATTGATACATAGACTGCTCACAAAACGTGTTTTTGCTCGAAACAACAGTTTATCTATATCTTATCCCTTTTTCTCTTATCCTAGTAATCGTTTACCCAGGGTAGCTCGTAGGAATTTCTAGCAGTGGCGGCGCCAGCGTCTTAAAAGTGGGGGGGGATTTTCGAGCGGCGAAGGCGCGAGACATTTCTAGGGGGTCCAGGGTCATGGCCCCGGAAAATTTTTGAAATCTAGAGTCCCTGAAATACGATTTCCTGCATTTTCAGGGTAAGATTATACAGAATTCCGAAGATTATAAAGTAAACAAAACACGATTTTTTCATGACTATATATAAGATCTGCAAATATAATTTTACAGCTACCTAAAGGAATTGCTACATCCACAAAACCTTTAAGACAACATAATTTTATATTTTAAATACAAATGGAAATAACTGTTAGGTAGAATAATAATGGCTAATCTATGTAATCGTTAAAGCTGTTTACAAGAGAAGCTTACGAGGTTTTGCAAGCTTAAATATTTCCACTAATTTGCTAAGTTCAATACTGTTGGCTAGATCTCGTTCGCTGCTAATCTGGACAAGGTCTTCGAGTCTATCAGGTGACATAGCAGCTCGCAAATAATTGTTTATTATTTTGACCTTGCTGTGTGTGCGCTCACATGATGCCACTGTCACAGGCAAGGTAGCGACAATCTTGATGACCTCAAACAAGTCGGGATAAAGGTGGTGCAGATCATCTTTGCTGAAAACTTCGAGCAAGGAGGGCAAGCAAATCCAAGATGGAAACTTTCTTGTGGACCCTTTCTCTTTTCTTTCCTTCTGTTCGCTGATATGATGCTCGTATGCAATCTTCCAGTCGTTACATTGCTTCGATTTCGAAAATAGGAGGAATTGTTGCCCGACACGATTGCTGCTAAGCTTGTAGAACTGGGCAATCTTCTCAACTTTAGGAGCATTATCTTCAGCAAGGTTTCGTGGATGGAATGTTGCGGCAAGAGTCATCATTTCGCATGCTTTTTCCGAAAAGCGTTTGTTCAGCTCTCGTAGAATCCTGTCCAAGAACGGCAAGTAAAGTTCTCGTCTAAAACACTCCAGCTCTGATTCACCATCTGGTCGGTTGCATCGTAGGTTAGGCATATCTAGAATGTTTTGGCCATCAGCGAGATGAGCAGGTAGTGTTCGGCGACGCTTGGATTGCAACGCTGTTGGATTGCAATCATTAAAAGTAAAACTACCATGAAGCACTTCGTTACCACATTTTTCAGCTAATGAATTAGCTTCCTCTAGAAATAGGTCAAACTGTTGATCACTGCGATAAGATGTCATTGTTGCTTTTAGATCCTGAATGGCAGTAACTCCTGATGTGAGATCCATATCTTCTCTCTGCAAGTACTCTGATGCATGTGTGCTAAGAGAAAAGCATTTCTCTAACATGAGGCATGCGGCTAAAAATCGAAACGGAGTTAAACGCACAAGTAATCCAGTTGCAACACTGTCATTGTTCTGCTCAGACTGTTCTTAAACATTGATAACAGTGCTGGATACACGTTAATCACAACCTCCAAGTTCTCAGTGCGCGCAGTCCACCTCGTATCAGAGAATGAGTGCATAGCCATCTTGCCTGACGTAATGCCATTCGCTTTCAAATGGTCTTCGTATATTTTATGCCTTTTAGGTGACCCTTCCATGTACCGATAAATGTCCCCGATTGTTTCGAAGATTGCCTTGACTGGGGGAACTGTTTCTACGCTTTGTTCAAGGACAAGGTTGAGCCTATGGGCAAAGCAATGAAAATAAATCGAAAACTCTGCTCCAGCTTCAGTCAAATGTCGTTGCACGCCTTCGTCCTTTCCAGACATATTTGCTGCACCGTCAAAGCCTTTTCCAATGAGATCCTTCAGAGAAAGTTTTAGGTCCTTCAATATATCAATGATCACCTCAGCCAAAGAAATTCCCTTTAAGCTAGACACTCTTACAAGCCTGACGCACCTCTCAGTTATCTTAAAATCCGTCACGTACCGAAGTATGACTGACATGAAGGCCTTTTTGTGAGATGTAACCTCGTCGCATTGAACGGAGAAATATTTTGCAGAACGTATTTCATTGCATATGATTTCAGTAATGAGATTGCTTAGAATACTGATCATCTCATTCTGGCTCACATGTGAGAAATACGAGACATTCTCGGGATGGGTATCCATCCACTTTCTCAATGGTGCGTGGTATTTGGAGAGAAATTCAAGCTCTTCAAGGAAATTACCTTTGTTTTTGGAATCATCCGACTCGTCATGGCCACGAAAAGAACTGTTCTGTTTGGCCAAATGTCGAACAACATCAAAAATAGTTTCCACGATATGTCGGTTTTCTACCCTCTCCTGTTCCTTTTTCCCTCGTATTTTCTCCGCTTCCTTGTTTAGTTGGACGTCGATTGGCGTTGCTGATTTAAAACGCTGCATACGTTCAACAGAGAGCATATGCATCCGCGAGTTGGCATGCTTGCACAGCTTTCCCTTTTCTCCTGTAGCGTTCTTCCAGTTCCTGAATCCAGTCTTCGTAAATGCATCATCCGAACTGCCAACTATAAAAATAGGGTGGTTTCCATTTTGAACTGAGGATTGTGGTTGCATTTATTACGGTATTTTGATATTCCAACAAATATGATACTTCAAAATATTTAATTACTTTTACGAAAAAAACCGTAACTCAGATCCCTGCGTGTATGCATGAATTAATGGATATGGTGATAAATATGGCAGAAATAAGAACATTTAGATGATATACAGTATACTTACTAGTGAATACTGACTTAATTAACGTTGTACTTGAAGGCGATGCTATTGTATTCATAAAACTGCGATCAAACGAGAGGCATGGAAAAAAGCGGATTACTGTAGGTCGTTTGAAAAAGTTTCATTTTGTTAAAAATATACAGGGAAAATACATGTTTAACTGTGTAACTATTAGAGAAAAACATTAATCGTTCTTCATAAAAGATAGCTTGTGTACTTCACGTTACATATTTTATTGTAATCTTCATTAAGTTATCCATTGATTCCCTCGTTGCATGAATCAGATTATTTGCGTATCATTTGACCAGCTGAGCTTATTAAATTAAAGGCTCAGACACACCGGACGGACTCAATTCGGCAAGACGGTAACGCAACGCGATTTTCCCGTTTCTAAAGGTAAAAACTAAACAGTCTAAACAAAACCGTCTATGAAAGAAAATTTTTAAAATATTGTTTAGCAAATAACTCCTATACTAAGGCAGAAGTGATCTATCAGTTAAAAAATCGCGGCGCGTGTCAAATCGCAGCGCGTGTCAAATCGCGGCGCGTGTCAAATCGTGTCCGGTGTGTCTGGGCCTTAATATAAAAAATTAACTAAATATCACGCAATAAAGAAATTACCACGAAAACATAATGAAACCTGAGATTAGGAATACACCTCATAACGTACTCGACTAAGTATAGCTTATGCCCTTCCTTGATTAATCTTTAAAGGTCATCCCTGGCCAAACAATCCAACATTGTACTAGGTTGCATGAGTACTGTATAATTTAATGTTTTTCACTCTAAAACATATCCTAGCCTTAGCATTTAAATATTAGAATATTATTTATTTTAATATTATATTTATATCCTAGTACTTTAATACCCGACCAATACATCCAAGGTTATGGACGAATTTTAGCCCTATGACTTGTGCCATTTGTATGAAATGACACTAGTATGTTTTCTTTCGTCCAACGGTCCAACCAACCCCCATGCAATTCGCCTTTTGGCGCCATGGCATTTTAATAAAATGAAAGACGTAAGAATACTTTTTCATTTTATGATGTTCAAGGTTATGGGCTTAACCTTACTCCCCCCCTCCAAACAAAGATAAACATGAACGGACGGTACACGGACTGTAAAAATACTGTAAATTCTTACCAAGCGCACCAAAGCATCTGCAAGAAAAACAAAATGCGGCGTCTTTAGATACCGAATATTCCAGCCATGTGTGCTCTTCGTACCATTTCTTTTGAAATTTAAACTTTCTCCCCGATATTTCCGATGTTGAGAAATCTAAGATAGGTCTAACCGGTCCAGATTCGACAACGAAGGCTCTATTTGCCTCACACACAATTTCACTTGATGGATCTCTTCCTTCAAACATTTTTCTCTTTCAGTTGTGTAGTGATGCGTGCCAAGAAGCTAATGACCATATGTTGCACGATCGGTGCATTAATTAACATAACGCACACCTCAGCAGCGGTACCTAACCAAATTTCCGCATCACACATTACCCAATGCACTTAATTTGGATAATATATTAACACATTATGTTGGTCTCCCTCGGCGCTCGTAATCAGCGCCTGCAATATATATGCTAAATACCGCATATATGGTAAATACCGCACATATTAAACGGTCTTTTGTAAGCGATGATCTTTTAATTCACACAATAAAGACTGAATTTATTAAGTTAGATCGAAATAACTGAACTGATGTCACAAACGTACCCCCCCCCCCATTTTCTCACCGGATTTGGACAAATTAGAAAATTGTCTTGGAAGAGAACTGGGGGGGACGTGTCCTCCCCAGTCCTCCCCGTGGCGCCGCCACTGGCAGGGTAGTAGAGGTGGAACCTTGTGCAGTTACACGTTGATGACGATTGGTTAGGTAAGATTGAAACCACTGCAAGAGACTACCTCCAAATCC